CATCATGTGCCCGGTGCTCTCAGTCTTGTGGGTTCTGGCACCACGGCCGTTCCTGTGGTGTGGCACCAGGGTCCCACCCGTGCCGGGCACAGATGCCACGGGCTCCTGCGTGCCATCCGGCCCTGCTCCTGGCTGGGTCTCCAGAGCCATTACCGGGATGGCTCCCACTGGCAGTAATTGCTGGAAACCAGTGCGGGCGCTGAGTCAGCGTGTCCAGAGTGAGTCACCGGGGAGGGGGTGCCCGCCCGCCGCGGGACGAGGTTCGCCGGGGTGGTCGCCTGGCTGGCAGGGGTGGCAGCAGCAGCCTCGTGCACCGCTGCCAGGGCTGCGTGTGACGGGCCCCAGCCCAGCCGGACCCGCTGCCCTGGGCTGGAGCTCTGCTGGGCTGCCAGTGCGTGCCCCTCGTCCTGCCCTGGGGTGCAGGGAGCAGATCCCGGGGCAGGATTGTGTCGCCTCTGCTTTCTCCAAGCTCTGCATGAGCCACAGCCAGGGTGTGGGGTGCTCCGAGGCACCCCGGAGGCACATGTGGAGAGGTCCTGGGTACAGGCAGCACCCCACGAGCTCTTGTCCATCCGCTCCTGCTGCATCCAGACCAGCTGGTGCCTTGGATCTTGCTTCAGCTCCCCCAAAGCATCCCGCCGTGGTGGGTGATTCCTGCAAGCCGTAGGTCCCAGCTGCCGTGGAGGGGGTGGCTGGGCTGGGACCCGGGCAGCGGTGCTGGCAGCACCTTCACCCCTGGCTTGGGGCGCATCCGCCTTTCCCAACGCAGAGGAAGCGTCAGCAGAGCATCCATCACCCTGTGCCCGCTCGCCCCGTCCTGGGCCGCCAGCCAGCACCAGGAGGAGCCCGGGCTCCTGGCTGAGTCACGGCCAGGCGGGATGAGGGACTCGTCCTGCTGCCGTGGGGCAGGGATGCGGCACGGCCGCGGCTGCAGCGCCAGGACAGGAAGGACAGCGCCTCGGGCTCCCGGGATGGATACCCTGGCTCAGCGCCCGTCTCCATCCCTGCCCCAGGGTGCCTGGGAGGGGCCCGGGGGTTGCGGGGCTGAACAGGGGCTCACAGCCCACACCGGGGAGAGGAGCTGCCTGCCCGTGTGCCCTGGCTGTGGCACAGAGGATTCTCAGTGGGGACAGGGCGGTTGTGGCTGCCCATGGGCACAGCTGTGGGGGACACGGGCAGGGCTGTGGGGGCTCTGTGCCCCGTAGTGGGGATGGGGGCCCTCTGTGTGCTCAGACCTCCTTTCTCTTGCAGGACTACACAGACGCCCTGGTGACCAACTACTGTGTGAGTGCTGGCGGGTCTGTGTCCCTGTCCCTGTCCCCAAGTGCCAGGCGAGGGTGGGCTGGGGCACAGGCGCTGCCAGGGCCCCTCACTGCTCTCCCCTTCTCTGCCCAGATCTGGCCACCCGTGCAGATTGCAAACTTCTACTTCGTGCCCCTGCAGCACAGGTAGTGTCGTGGCTCTGGCCCCCAGCCTCTGGCCCCCTGAGCCAGCGGCTGTGGACCCTGTCCCCTCTGTCCCCAGGCTGGCTGTTGTCCAGTGCGTTGCCATCGTCTGGAACTGCTACCTCTCCTGGAAGGCAAATCGGATGTGAGGCAGAAGCCGTGTCCCACCCCCGTCCCCAGCCCGTGCGCTGCCTGACCCTGCTGCACCTCGGGAGCCCTTTGAGGGGGCTCAGCCTGTGGCTGTGGACAGGCTGAGACAGGCAGAGTGCTGGCAGCAGCTGTCCCACTCTCTCCTTGGGGAGACACCGTCGCCACGGCCCCCACTGCCCCAGGGACACACTGGGGAGAAGATGGTGCCAGGACACCCCGAGACAGGCCTGGAGTGGCTCTGGCTCCAGCTCCAGAGGCCTGGAGTGGCTCTGGCTCCGGCTCCAGCTCCGGCTCCAGCTCTGGCTGTGCCGTGTGGCAGCTCTGCCTGCAATGTGTTGCTCCATCCATGCTCAACCCTCTCCTGGCCCCTGCCTGCACAGAGTCCTCCTGCCCCGGGCATCACTCTGCCCTTCCTCATGGCACATCCCTGGAGGAGGAAGGAGTGGGAGTGCCACAGGGCCGGGGCTGGCCCTGGGCTGGCAGTACCATGGGCACAGAGCTGGGGTCACTGCAGGCTGGGGGTGCTTCCCCTGAAAATGGGGTTTGGTGTGACTCTGCTGCAGACAGTCAGAGCACCAATAAATGGTGTTTTTCACTCTCGATTCCCGTGGCCCTCAGGCTCGTGGCCCAGCAACCCCTCCGGGCCCTGCAGAAGCAGTTCCAGAGCGACCATTCCTGTGTTACAGATCAACGGCTCCGCTCTGCCTTGTCCCAAGGCACTGAGTGTGGGGCTTTGGGCCGCAGGCTGATGGGGTGAGCTGCCCCAGTGACTGGGTGAGGAGAGGGGGCTCCAGCAGAGGGTGGGTGGTGGCTTAGGGGGTCACCAGGTTCCACTGCAGCTGTTCCATGGGCTGTGACAGTGCCCTCACTGCTACAGAACAGTGGGACAAGGTGAATGGTGCCGGGCTTCCAGCGCTGGGTGCAGAGTCCTTGCAGGGCCAGGGTGTGCTCGGTGCAGGGCTGTGCATCCTGGGGGGCTGTGGGAAGGGTGGGGAGTGGGGCTGAAGCTGGGGCTGGGACAGGGCTGCTGCCACCAGCACTGCTGCCCCGTGGGGATGTGTGTCCGTGCTCACCCTTCACCAGGAGCGAGCAGACACAACCCAGCTCACACAGCACGTCCCAGCCAGGGGCTTTGAGTGGAGCTGGTAGGATCGTGGTGGTTCACTCACCCCCGCAGGGCCTTGAGCCCCAGCCCCCTTTGGTCTCACTGTGGCAGCCCCAGGCAGCTCAAAGGAACCATCCCCTTGGTGCTGGCACCAGCCGGGTTCTGTGGGCTGCCAGCATGGCCCTTATGGAGAGGATGCACCATCTATCCTTCCTCCCTCACCTTCACACTCCTGCCCTGGGCTGGCCTGGGCTTTGGGGCCACTCTAGGCAGGTGAGTACAACCCAAAGCATAGAGGAGCTGAATCCTGCTCCTGTGCACCCATCTGGGGATGGGGCCACAGAGCCCACCCAGCTGCTGGCCCTCACCTGAGGGGTGAGGGATGGGAAGGGGTTGTGGCTGCAGCCCCAGCAGCGGTCGGGAGAGCAGCACAGGGCTGGGGCCAGGCGATGGAACCGTGCATGGATGGCACCAGGGCCTCAGGGGGACCTCGAGCCTGGTGTGGGCTTGGCCCAGGCTCTCTCCAGCGTGTGGGGTGGGTGCTGTGGGTGGCAGGACTTTGCAGTCCCGAGGCACCCCTTGCAGCTCTGTCTGGGGGTACAGGAGGCTCTGGGTTGTCAGCAGTGAGTGAGCTGCAAGCGTGGCATGAGCCACGTGGCGTGAGCCACTTGTCCCCAGGAGTAGCTGCCCCATGGCACGGGGCTGCCAAGGCTGCCTGAGCCCAGCCCCTGCTGAGGGCTGTGCCCTGCCGCTGTGGGAAGCTGTGCCGAGTGCCAGCCTTCACGCCGGATCATGTCACGGGGGCACGGCACCGTGTGCTGCCTCGCTGCCAGCAGGGCTGTGCCCCACTGCCCCTGTGCCGCCCGGTGTGGGACACACCGTGCAAGGGGCCAGACTGAGCCCCTGCCCCCGGATCTGCCCGACACTGGTGCTGTGGAAGGAGCCCAGTCTGGGCCCAGCTGGGCACCTGCACCAGTGTCAGTTCTGGGTGTTGGCTTGGCTGCAGTTGGGGTTAGGGGGGTCTGCACTCAGGGGTCTGCTGGCAGTTCTGTGGTGCACTCGGGGGTCTGCCAGCAGCAGTGTGAAGCACTCGGGGGTCTGCTGGCAGTGCTGTGGTGCACTCGGGGGTCTGCCAGCAGCGTGTGGTGCACTCAGGGGGGCTGCCAGCAGCGATACGAGGCACCAGCAGCCACCTCACCGTTTGGCAGCGGCGCCGGTGCCCCATCGGAACACCCTGCATCGAGCACGCCGCTGCCGACTCCGGTGTCTCCGCTCTATGACTCACAGGACTTGGCCGGTGCTGCCGCTGCGCTTCGGGGTCTGCAGCTCCTGCTCCTCGGCAGCACCCGCTCTGCCCGGGGCACGGGGCCACAGACAGGCCGGGGGTCCCCCGCCCGTGACCGTCCTGTCCCGGAGTTGCCGGTGCCCGGAACGTCCCCCCCACGCCCAGGGATTCCCCCCCTGCCGCCGCCCGCGTTCCCTGATCGGGACGCCGCTGCTCGAGGCGGCCGCTCGGCCCGGTAACGCGGGGGTCCGGCGGCGAGGAGCCACGGCTCAGCCCAATACAGCTCACCGGGAGATCTCACCGGGAGCTCACCGGTACAGCTCACCGGTACAGCTCACCGGGAGCTCACCGGTACAGCTCCACGGCGCGTCCCGGTCGTTCAGCACCGCGGACAGCGGCGGAGAACGGGGCTGGCGGGGGGGGGCAGCAGAGCCGGGAGAGGGAGCGAGGGAACCGGGGGAGCGGGGGACAGCACGACCCAAGGCACCTGCTGGCACCGGCCGCGGCACCGCCGAGCCCCTTTGGCGGGCGCCGGAACGGAACCGGAGCGGCGGCCCCCGAGAGCGGGGAGAGCACGGTCCGCCCCGGCGCCGGGGACCCGCTGCCCCGCGGCCCCGTCCCGCCGCCCCGGTGCCCCCCGCTCCCGCCCCCCCGCTCCCGCCCCCCGCCGCCCCGTGCGCTGACGTCAGCCCGGGCTCCGGGGCCGATATAACCCCCGGGCCGCGCCGCCGGCTCAGCTCCCGCGGGACGGACCGCGCTCGCTCCGCCGCCAGCACCGGCAGCAACAGGGGACGGGCACAGCGCACCGGGTACGGGCCGGGGCTCGGGCACCGGGCGGGGACAGCACCGGGGAGGCGCAGCGGGGATGGGACGGGGCGGCCGGGCGGGATGGGGGCACCGCGCCCGGGGTGGTCCCCGCGCCGCCGGGGACGCGGTTCCCGTCGAGCCCCCGCAGCCGCCCCGGTCTCTGCCGCGGCGCTGAGCCCCCGGACTCGCAGGTTCGGAGGGACCGAGGATGCGGCGGGCGCTGCTCACTCTCCTGCTGCTGCTCGCCCGCTCGCCGCCCGTCGCCGCCCTCCCCGCCACCACCGACGGCTCCGTCCCGGCGGCCGCGGCCGGGATCGGGGATCGGGGCCGCCCGCTCTGGCCGCCGCTGGCGCCGCCGGCCCCGGGGCAGTGGAGAGGGCGGCGGGACGAGCCGCCGCTTTCCATCGACCTCACCTTCCACCTCCTACGGCACCTCCTGCTCCTCGCCCGCGCCCAGAGCCAGCGCGCCCGCGCCGACTCCAATCGCCGCATCCTCGACGCCGTGGGGCGCTGAACCCCCCCGGGACCGCCGGGCCCCCCGGGAACCCCCGGAACACCGGGTCTGCACCGGCCTCCGGCCACCGCCTCGGCCTCTGCGCTGCGGGGCGCCCGGCGCCTCACCGGCAAACGCACCGGCACCGACACCGGCACCGGCTGCACCCGCCTCGGCCCCGGCGCTGGGGCGGGTGGGAGCGGAACCGGCCCCGGGACGGTCCTGCACCGATTTTGTAATAAAACGTGGTGGAAACCCGAGGCGTGAGCAAGTGCGGGGCGGGGGCAGCTGGGGCTGTGCCGGGCCAGGGGCTGGAAAACTGGGAACGGGCTCACTGGGAATGGGAGATGGGCTCACCGGGAATGGGGAATGGACTCACAGGGGATGGGGAACGGGCTCACCAGGAACAGGGAATGGGGGAATAGGCTCACTGGGATTGAGGAAGGGGCTCACCAGGAATGGGGAAACAGACTCATTGGAAGTGGGGGAATGGGTTCACTAGGAATGGGGGAACAGGCTCAGCGGGAATGGGGAATGCACTCACTGGGAATGGGGAAAGGGCTCACCAGGAACAGGGAACAGGATGAGCTGGGCCGGGGCTGGGTGGCAGCAGCTGGGCTGGCAGCACAAACCCACCAGCACTGGGGCTGGGGCTGTGTGTGTTCCCGGGTCAGGGCATGAGATTGTTGTCTCTGGGGAGAGAAGATGCTCCCAGACCCTCAGGTGTGGCAGCAGTGGGAAGCAGAGGGCACAGAGTGTTGGGAGCAGTGGGTCCTCCTCACCAGTGAGCTGGGCACAGTGTCTGCACCCACCCGTGGGCCGGTGGGGATGTGAGTGGGTGAAGCAGCTCCACCCTGGGATGGCTGGTGGGGCTGGGGGAGGGACAGACACGGGCCCTTCCTGGGGGGACAGGGCCACCCATTCAGGAGCACCAGGGGTGGGGGGCACCTCTGTGGGACACACGGTGCTGCTGAGCAGGGCAGGGCAGGGAGGGGGACACTGTGGTGGGGTGGTGGGCTGTGTTTCACGCCCCCAACCAAGAGGACAGGGATGAAACCTTCTGAGGCAGCTGGGGGAGGTTCAGCCTCCCCGTGGGTGACCCTGTTCCTCACCAGGACCTCCAGCCCTGTCTGTGGAAGGTGTCCCTGCCTGTGGTGGTGGGTGGGACTGGGTGGTCCCTTCCCATCTAAACCAGCTGAAAATTCCGTGGTAACGTCCCACTCCATGCTGGAGGGGCAGCGAGGCAGGGCTGGAGCAGGGAGGGGTGTTTTTGGGAGGGGGGCCTGGGAAGGGCTGCCTGGGGATGTGATGGCAGAGGAGGTCGGTGCCCGGGGCAGGCAGGAGAGCAGGCAGAGGGGTGCAGGCAGAGGGGTGCAGGCAGGGGGTGCAGCCCCTGGATTTTGAGCGAGCCGCTTTCAGTGACCAGATGGCTCTGGTAGGAGGCAGCTCCAAGGGATGAGGGAGCTGAGGAATGCCAGGAGGCCTTTGGGAAGGAGCTTGAGGCTTGGCTGCAGCTGGAAGGGACCTGGGGAGATCCCCCACTCCAGCCCCTACTCCAGCTGCTTGTGCTGTGTCCACTGGGGCTTGAAAGGGCAAATTCCACTATGGCATGAGGGCCCTGGAGCTGGGAGGCCGTGCAAGAAGGATTGTACTGGGACAATTACTCCTTGGAGGTATTCATATTGGATGGGGCACTGACCTGGACACTCCACTTCAGCCAACCCTGATGAGCAGGGCTGGGTGTGGGAGGGCTCCAAAAATACCCCAAACCTTTGGAGGCCGGTTTGTGCCAGTTGTCTCTGGTCCTGTCATGGGGCTCCACTGAGAAGAGCCCAGTTCCCTCTTCTTTCCCTCCCATCAGGCAAGTATTTACATGGATTCAACCCCCCCGACCATCCCAGTCCCTTCTTTTGCAGCAGGTGCCCCAGTCCCTCCAGCATCCCTGGGCCCCCTCCCTGGGCTGCAGAGGTCACACCCTCCTCGCCCCGGGGAGCCCCAGCCTGACCAGATCCTGCATCCACAGCCCCTCCTGCTCCGTGGATCCCCCCACCCAGGGAGCTGCTGCTCACCTGGATCTGCTGGGAAAAGGTGCCGCTGCCACCTCCCCAGCTCAGCGTCACCACCGAGGGGTTCGTGGTCCTTCATGTCCTTCAGCAGCTGCAGCTGGACAGTTGTGATCAAGCAATAACACCATGGACCTTGTAGGCTTGGCTAATCTTCTCTTTTAAGGGAAAAAGGAAGACCACTCCAAGAGGAATGGGCTGCCTGGGTGAGAAGCACCAGGAGTGTTGTCAGCAGGGCTGGGCAGCACCTGGGGAAAAGGTAATTCCAGCAGTGGGAGGTCACAACCAGTGACTCACTGAGCACCTCCTCAGAACAGACCCCCAGCTCAAAGGGAGGGAAGAGCTGCTCCTGCAGAGGGATCAGTGTGGGGAGGGAGAGACACCCAGCAGAGAGGGCTTTGAGTGCTGATCAATAAAAGAGTTCTGTAACCTGTAACCAGTGAATGCTGGTGCCTGTGTTTGCTCAAAGGGGTGAACAGTGTAAAGTTCTAATGCTTGGGGAGCAGGAACCGAAATGGGTTCCTCTGATTCTTTAAAATTTCCCCTTTGCTCTCCCCTTGGACACATCCTGAAGAATTGGATAAATCCGGGGGTGGCCGTAAGACTCAAGATAAATTGAAAAGATGCTCTAATCAGTGGTGGCCTCAATATAAATTAGATGATGGTGAAAATTTTCTGGAAATTTCTTTGAAATATAATATGATTTTACAGATGTTTATTTCGTAGGAGGCAAAACAAATGGGATGAAGTCCCTGATGTAGATTTGCTTTTCACTTTAAGAAATAATTAGTAAAGTAAGGAAAAAATGTGGTTTAGAAAATTCAAAGTATCAAAATGAAATATTTGTCTCCCCATGAGGAGTGGAGGGCGGTTTAGAAAAGGCTCGGGAAGGAGGAGTTAAGGGAATAGAAGGATCAGGTTCAGGGCATTCCAAATCCTGACGAACTTCTCCCTAAGAATGACCCAGAGTGGGATTCCAATCAGGCTGCTGGTGAGATTCACTAAAATTGTATCAGGAACGGATTTAGTTGGGAATCCAGAAGGGAGTGGGGAAACCAAAACACCTTGGCAAGTTGTATGAACAGCAGCAGGGAGCAAAGGAGTCCCCGAGGGCTTTTCATGTAAGATTTTTATGTAAGATTGCTCCCCCAGGTATGGACTCAGATCCAGCAAGGGGGGGAAGCAGGGGGCTGTTTAACAGGCTTTTGCTTGGGCAGTTCGTGCCAGGTGTTAGAAAGAAATCCAGCAAGAGAGAAGGAGCACTGAGGGTGGTTATTTCCCAAGTGATGTCTGGGAATAGGGAAGAGGGAGAAGGGAAGGAGAAGAGCTGAGTGAGGTTCCCAAATCCGTTGTCAGCTGCCCTGACCAACATGCAGGGACAGGGAGGAGGCAGAGGGTGGATTTTGGGGGCGAGGGTGGGGATCAACACCCCTCCAGAAGGATCAGGGTGCCTGTTGCAGACAGGAGGGGCACTGGGGAAAGGAGTGTCCTGAATTGCAAACGGGCAGAAGGGAGAATCAGAAGAGATGGGATTTATGGCAAGAATTGGGCTGGACTGAAGGGGACCGGAGGCATCTCTCATCATTTCCCTGGTCAATCCTTTGGTTCCAGGTAAGCTGGGGAATGAAACAATGGATTTTCCAGTGGATGCTGGAGCAGCTTGTTCTGTAGTTACAGAATGAGGGACCTTTAGTAAAACCAAAGTCAGTGTTGTCAGTGTGGCAGAGAGGAACTTCTTCGGGGGCAAGAAATCCCTCAGACCATCTCACAACCCGTGGAATTCATGACTGGGAACACAAAAAGAGCCCTCACTCAGTCTCTGGAATTGAGCTGAGGAAAGAAAGTCAATATTTATACTGACTCAAAGCATGCCTTTGGCGTTGTCCATGCTCGTGGAGCAGTTTGGGAAGAGTGACAAATTTTGAACTCGCAGGGAAGTTCGGAGAAATACGGATCTGAAATTGCAAAGCTGGTGAAAGCAGTTCTTCAAGCAAATAAAGTTACAATAATCTAAAAGTGCCCTAGAGAAGAAATCCCGACCCCGTAAAGGGAAACCAAAGGGCAGATGCAGCAGGGAAAGAAGCTGCATTGGGGAAACCAAGAAGAGTTGGTTCCATGACCCTGTGCAGTTTCGTTTCCAACAAATTGTACAAAAGGGGAGGAACAAGGAGCAGAACAGCAGGACTGTACTAAAAATAAAGAAGGATGGTGGGAAACACCCGTAGAGCAGCTCTTGGTCCCTGAGGGGATGATGGAAACCCAACTTAAAAGGCTGCATCAAGGGACACACGTGGGAGCAGATGTGTCACTGCTTTTAGCAGAGAATTTCTTTGGACACAAGACACGAGGCTTTGCAGACAAAGTAATAAAAAAATATGTAACTTGCGGTGCTGATAACCCAAAAATAAGAAAGAAAACATGGGGAGGAAGTGTAAAGTGAGGAATAAGCCCTGGGGTACATTGGCCAATGGATTTCACGGAATTACCCAGATGTAATCAATGCAAACATTTATCAGTTTTCATTGATCACTTTTCTGGTTGGTCGAGGCTTTCCTGCTTTGTACCAACCAGAGCGGAACATTGATTAAGGTTTGTTAAAAGAAATAATACCCAGATTGGGCATCCCAGAAGAAATTTCTTCAGATAATGGACCCAGCCTTATAACAGAAATAGTGCAGGAAGTGTCCAAGTTGTCACAGCTGATTTGGGAATGACACACCCCATGGAGCCCACAGTCCAACGGGAAGGCAGAAAGGATGAATCAGGGGCAACTATCCAGGTTATACCAAGAGGCTCAGGTGGAGCATCACCTTTGTCTCATGAGAATTTGTGCCACTCCTGGAGTCAAAGCAGTAATGAGCCCTTTGGAAGTACTGTAGAGGAAGGGATTCCAGGGCAGGAAGGGGGTGAAATGAGAGGAGACTGAGTTCTATTCACATCTGTGAATGCACCGTGGAT